GGTATTTCTAAAACACAAATCTGATCATATTACTTTCCTGCTTAAAATCCTTCCATGGGGATTGGATCAAACATGGCAGAGTGAGAGATGTCCCCAGATCTCTTCCCTTGAAACAACAATAAGCTGAACATCTAAAACTCAACAAACCCCCCCCGAACTGCACACCAGCACTTCCGAGCATGGGATCTGCACATAAGAGCTACTACAGGTCAGAACCCCAGGTGTCGGTTGGTGGACTGAGAGAAACAAAGAAGCTGCCTCTCACAACTGGAGCTCCCTGTAGGAGGAGAAGGAGGGGAGAAGGTGCAGTGAGTTCCCTGAACAGCCCTGCCTGGGAGCGTTGTGAGCTCCATGTGGCCGGCAGCAGTGCTCTGTCATCAGGGCAGAAGGCAGAGAAACGGGGATGGCAGAAAAGTGGGGATGGCAGAGAAACAAGAGTTCATTTTTACCAGCCACAGTTGCAAAACCGAGGCTGAGCTGCAGCCCCATTCCCCAACCCAGAGGGTCCCTTCCCCCATACCCTCTGAGACCCATCACCATGAAGCCCCAGGGGAATCAAACTCTAACAATGACAGGAACTGAGACTGAGGGTAGCGAGCATGATTAAACATTTATAAGGAAAAAAAAAAGACATTATTAAGACTTTATATAAAGCAGAGATCCAAGAGGCTTAGACTCTTACTGGAAACCAAAAGAAAAACACCTTCTTTGCTAGGGACTATTATATAATAAATCTTTCCAGAAAAAAAAAAGCAGAACACATGTCCGTTAATGCCCAGGTGGAGAAACAGTCCATGAAACACCATGAACAACTAAGGTGATAAGGCATCTCAGAAAGAAAGAGAAAAATCTCCAAAAAATAAGCTGACAGACATAGAAATATGCGACTTAAATGACAGAGAATTCAGGATGGTACTTTTGAAAAAACTCGGTGAGATCCAAAATGACTTATATCAACGATTTCAGGAATTGAAAAAACAACTAGATGAGCAGAATGAGTTCTTTAACAAGGAGACTGAAACCCTCAAAAAGAACCAAATAGACCTTCTGGAGATAAAGAACACACTGCAAAAGTTGAAAAATGAAATAGCAAGCTTGGGAAATAGAGTCAACCAAATGCAGGAAAGGATCAGTGATATCAAAGACAGAAATCTAGAAATAAATAAGAAGGAAGAAGAGAGAAACTGAAGAATGAAAAATGATAAAAAAGAAATTCAAGAACTAGCTGATACCATCAGGAGAGGAAACATAAGAATGATGGGTATTATTGAAGGTAAGGAAAAGAAACAGGGATTAGAAAGCATTTTCAGACAAATAGTTGATAAGAATTTCCCAAATCTAAGGAATGAGCTGGAGCTTAGAATTCAAGAAGTCAACAGAACATCCAATTATCTCAACCCAAAAAGGCCTTCACCAAGACGGGAAGTAAAAGCAAAAATAAATGAACGGGGCTATATCAAACTAAAAAGCTTCTTCATGGTAAATAAAACCATCAACAAAACAAAGAGGCAACCAACTGAATGAGAGAAGATATTTGTAAATGACACCTCGAAGAAGGGGCTAATATCCAAAATATATAAAGAACTCATAAAACTCAACAGCAAAACAAAACCAACTCAAATAATGGACAGAGGACCTGAACAGATACTTCTCCCACGAAGACATGCGAATGGCCAACAGACATATGTGAAGATGCTCAACTTTACTAGCTATTAGAGATATGCAACGAGATACCAGCTCATAACAAGATAAGTGACAACAAATGTTGGAGAGGTTGTGGAAGCAAGGAACCCTCATATACTACTAGTAGGAATGTAAATTGATACAGCCACTATAGAAAACAGTATGGAGTTTCCTCAAAATTCTAAGACTTGATCTACCATATGATCCAGCAATCTCTCTTGAGTATTTACCCAAAAGACTTGAAAACCCATATCCGAAAAGATGTTTGCAACCAATGTTCATAGCAGCATTATTCACAGTGGCCAGGACATGGAAGCAATCGAAGTGTCCTATGATAGATGACTGGCTGAAAAAGCTGTAGTATGTGTATGTGTGCACACACACACACACACACACACACACAATGGAATATTACTTAGCCATAAGAAGAGATGAAATACTGCCATTTGCGACAATATGGATGGACCTTGAAATAATCTTACTAAGTGAAATAAGCCATACGAAAAGGAGGTTGAAAGTCACATGATATCACTTATATGTGGGATATAAACCTAAAAGGAACAAATGATCAGGACAAAAAAACAGAGACCCATGGACATGGACAATGGACTAGTGGTTACCAGAGGGGAGGGGGAAAAGTAAAAAAATAAAATGTTAAAAAAACCAAAACCCTTCCATGGTCCCTCAGGAACAAGTCCAAATTCCTTTAATGATGTATAAAGCCTTTCATGACCTGGACAACCTGCATCCTTACCAACCTCCATCCTTATCTCTTTTAATCATGCACCTCACAATCTATCTTCAAGCTACACATATTATTTGCAGTGATTAACAGTTTGTTTCTTACCTCTGCACAACAACCCTGTTGCAGTTCTCTCGGGTGACACCTACGTATTATCCACACTTAGGATTACCCACACTTAGGATTCAGCTTAGATGTTACCATATCCAGAATACTTCCCTGATTGAATTGAGTGCCCTTTCTGTATCACTCAGTGCTTTTTTCCTATACTTATCGTACCATATTGTAATTGTTAACTTGTTTTGTCTCTCTTGCTGTATAGTCCTTGAGTGGAGGGATTATGTCTGGTTCAGTGTTGAAAACTCTAAGATTAGTGTAGTGCTTGGCTTGTAGTAGTTGCTCAATAATCATTTTTAAAAAATGAATGAATTTTCAATAGAAGTCTGAAAGAACTTGCAAAGCTACCTGGAGAGAAACAAATATTTAGCATTTCTTATTTTGTGAGTGGATTATTCTGACAGCTATTCCCTTTATCGCTGTTAGTTTGGTTTACAATTTATAAAAATTGAGCTGATAAATATTTAAAAATTGATAAAATCAACTAAGGAAACACATTACAAAATAACAAAATAAGAAAATGATATAAAACAATAAGTGAAATGTGTTATACCTAGTAAAAGATAAAGAAAGCAATAAGTTGTGAGATTGGGGGAGAAAACACAATGAACTGATGTTTTTTCAGAGCTTACTAGATTGAGTGTATTTTATTGGTAAGATCTCATCTAATCCTCACAATAATTCTTTGAGGTTGATATGTTATGCCTGCATTAGGGATGAAGAAATTAAAGATCAGATTAGAACAAAACAAACTGAATGATTATACAACAAACTCTCTACAGACAAGAAACAAATAAATTAAAATCAACCTTTGAAACCCTTAATTATCCTTTTTTGGGTCATATCAGCTTTCCAGCTTCCTCTCCTAAAACTATTTCCTTCATTCTCTCATTCCTTTTGGATGTAGACATACCTCCTTCCACCAAGATAAATTCCACTTCCTCTGTCACGCTTTGGCTCACTTAAGTTCTTTTTTGAGTGAAATTTGCTTCATCAGACTTTTCTGACTTAGCTAAACCTTTTTGAGCCTAGCAAAGCATCCTAACTTCTCTTTCAGGTAATTGTCAGCAACACAGCAGTAAAGATCAGTATGAAGCAGATTATTATTGCAGATCATGCAGGGAGAAAAAAAAGGTAAAATATTAAACAGTGGTAGTGTTTAAGTGACTATATTCTGCTTAGTGAGAAAACCTGGTTATTTTCAAATTCCACCATTTCCAACTTCCCAGATGGTTCAAGTCTCTAAACTTTCTAAGCCTCAGTTTTCTTGCTAATAAAAACAGGATACTAGTGAATCTACCTACCTACCACCTACCTACCTACTCCAGTACTTTTGTGAGAAACAAATGAGATGAGGTACATAAAAACACTTCACAGCTGGAATGCTAGCGCTCACAGCCATGACTGTGAAGGTTTTCGGCTCTCTGGGGATGGCAGGAAGAGGTTAACCAAGATTTCATTTTCAAGATGGAAAGCCCTTCAGATTCAATTGTGATTTTTACCTTGCACTCCACAGGGCTGTGCTAATCAACCATCTCCCCATACAAGAAGTTCAAGAAACAACCTATGAATGCAACACTTAGAGAATGGTCAAGAAAACCTAGATCTTCATTTAATTCTTGTTACAATGTGGTAAAATGTCTTAAAGTAGAGAATGAAGAAAATGATCAGAACTTTTCAAAGAAATCAGCATTTTCAACAGAAGAAAACTGGAATGTCAAGAAAATTTTAAACACATAGTGAATTAAACTCATAGATCAAAGAAAGACCTGTCTCAGGTACAGTTGTTAATAAAGAAGTAGAGAAGCTGTAGTCAGTGGTTGCTTTTTGAGAACAAGAAACTCACCCTTACTTAGTTTATAGATTACTATGGATTGAATGATAAATTGCTACACTATAACAGAAATTAAGAAGAATTTATAGGTGTTTATATATATATTTTTTGTCCAGAATATCTTTGAGAATGACAACTTAAAGATACTTATACATTTTAAAGGGAAGATACAAATCATTAGGGCTTAGAGAAAGGTATCTTGAGGAATATCAATTTAGGGCACTCTTATTATATAAACTAAGTTCTGAAACAAAAATTTAGTATTTTGGATAAATTTACCAAAGAAAATTTGACATTTAAAGAAATGTGAAAAAAATTAAAATCATGTTTTAAAAAATTTGGGCAGTTCTAGAAGTCGGTTGTAATAACTTTTTTTGTTTATTGTGGTAAAAAAGTTTTATTTTAAATGTCAAAAAATAGTCCAATCTGGTGAATGTCTAAACTTAAACTGGTCAAAAATGCTTGCTTCTGTCCCAAGTTTATGAACTTTGTTTCCATCCATTTACCACATATTTCCATCTGGTATAGCAGGTAATTAAACTCATAAGTTCCCCCACCCCTCAAAAAAAACCCCAACAAAACCACTTTACAAATATTTGGTTAAACACTGTAAAATGTTTGTACCTGGCTACGAACGAGACAGCGACAAGTTGGGTTCCTGGGCTGAAGAAACTCAGAAGCTAGTCGCTAAGGAGAAGAAGCCGAGCGTTGCCAGGTGACGTCATTACTCCGCGCCAACCGCGACAGTTTCCGGGCTGGGCTGAAGGCTGCGTTCTGCACCATGGGGTCTTGGCAGCGTTTGCTGCTGTTGGGTGGGATGTCGCTTCGGGGTGGTGGCGGGGCCTGTGCTGCACTTCGGGGAAGCGGAGTGTTGGTTTTTCGGCGCCAGGTCCGTGGTGCTGCAGGGCAGGGGGGAGGAGGGCGGGACAGAGATGCTAGAACGGCAGGGACGCAGGTGCCCTGGCATTGCCCTTTGCCAAACACGCGCTAAAGTACCTCGTGGCTCCCCCGCTCCCCCACACCCCATTTGGCGATTCAGTGAGACCCCAGTTGACTGGACGTCCCCACTTTCCAGGCTGGACCCCGTAGGACCAGGCCGAGGCATGGAGGGACATGAAACAGATGGTTAGAACATGCATGTGTGACTTGCACGTTACTTTCTTAGTGTTGCTTTATTTAGAAAATAAGTTAAAGAGAAGGAAAGCACATGGAGGATTTAACTCGGTAAAGAAGCAGCTTATTTACTTTCCATTTTTAACAGAGTATTCTGGCACATAAATTTCTGCTTGAACAATGCGTCTCTAGGACTGTGATCAATAGCAAGCAGCAGGTAAATAGCACTAAAGGCCTAACTAGTGGAGGTGAGCAGACTTAGACTGCAAAAGAAAGCCCAGTTATTCACAAACTCCGAATTGTTTTTACTTTTACAGCATGATAATGGAGATGTCTTATTTTAAAACTTTTTTTTTAAGTTATCTGGCGCTGAGAATGAGACCCTAAAACAAAGAAGAACACAAATCATGTCACGAGGACTTCCAAAGCAGAAACCAATAGAAGGTGTTAAACAAGTTATAGTTGTTGCTTCTGGAAAGGGTGGAGTTGGAAAGTCTACTACAGCAGGTATTACAGGATATTAATTCTGTCTTATTATAGAATATTAATTCTGTCTTATGAGGAACGTATGCCAGCTGGCAAGTACACAGTATTAAAATTATAGTTTTGTTTTTTTAAAAAATTTGTATTTGTGAAGTTCCTAATATCTAGTTACTTAAGGGTTGATAGTGATTAGGAGCTTAGATTTTGGAGTTAGACAAAACCAGGTATATAGCCAAGTCTGTGACTTCCTAACTGATAAAAAGGTGGTTAGGTTGCCCATCAGATCTTCAGTTTACTTAACTGTAAAATGGCAATGATGATAACCTGTTTCATGGGATGGTTATGCAAATTAGGCCAGTGTCTCCTACATAGTAAGTGCTCAATTTTGGTTGCTGTTACTATTATTTTTAAAACATCTAGTAACTTTAATACTAAATTATTTCTGTGCTTTTATGTTCTTTTTCTTGTGGAAGAGTTTTTCAGATGTTTTGAAGAAATTAAGATTTATCAAGTATTGTATTACGATAGACCCTTAATGTACTATTTGATAGGTAATGTATTGTTATTAAAAAATGGTTAGTGATTGTTCTTAATGAATTCATGCTCTAGCCACACATTTTTGCTTTTCTTTCCTAAGGGCTTGCAATCCATCTATTTGATATTTTGTTTTAAAATTTAGAAACTCTTAGTCTTTGGTTCTAGAATTCATCTGTTGTTTTTTGAAAATTCAGAGTACATTTTCTTGTTTTGAGTAGTGTGAATCCTTTTGTCTGCTCTGTGATTACTTAGACTGGTTAAAGATGGAAAGTATTTTCATGACCTGTAGGCTAGCACTTGTTTAAAACCGAATGTTTCTTGTTTTTTGGTTAGAAGATTTTGCCATGGCATATGAAAGCATTTAAATAGGTAAATACATGAGAAAATGTGTAGTGTGTGACACATAGTAGGTGCTTTACTAAATGTCTCTTCTTTGTTTTTTTTTCTTTGTTAACATTATACCTTCTGTCCCAAACAACTGGCCTATACTTTTTTATAACAGTTCTATTTGCATACATATGCCTTAGAAATATATTATTTCTGTGTAACTCTGTTGGTATTATATTTCTTTCCCTTATATGTATTTATTCCTGTTTCAAACTATCTCAAAATATTTCCTGTTTGAATTTGTATACTTGAGATATTTTGGATTAGAATGGTGACCTTTGATTAATACAAACATGTCCTGTGATTCTATTGTATAAGTGCAGGAAGACCTTAATAAAATGCATTAATCTGTAAAATTACTGCTTAAAAATTGGATTATGTTTAAACTATCTATGATGTACCTGAAATTCAGAATTATTTTATAATTCATAAAAATTAATTTATCAAGTGCCATGACCAAGGGTGCATACTTTACATACAGTATTTCACTTAATTCTTGTAACAGTTATGAAATAGGAATTATCCTATTTTATAGAGGAGGAAACAGACTTAGGAATAAAATATCACACAATAGAAAGTGGTAGAACTTGAATTTGAACCAGGTCTGTCTTGAAAACTGTCCCGTTAACTACTTTAAAGGAAGCAATCTTGGCATCATTTATAACATTCTTCTGTAAAAAAATGTTATCCATACTATTAGGGCTTATTTATTTGTCAGTCTTGAAAATATCCCTATTACTGGGCTAAAGGTGGTTTTGGGAATACTACTTTCCTCCTTTGGGATTCACTAGTAGTTTTGGGAACATATTTTACCAACTTACCTTTTACCTTCTTCCTTTTCCTCTGCATAGTAGTTCAACCTTTCGTATATGTGGATAATTGTGAGTTAGATATTTAGAATTTCTTCATTACCAGCATTTATTTTTGAAAAGCAAGAGGATCATATCAATTTTTGTTTATTAAAAGGTAGATAATTTCTTTTGCAAAATACGTTTTGAAAATAATTGCACTATATATATCATTAACATTGTTTTCTTAAGAACTAAGTGGATTGTTTAAACAAAAATAACCATGGCATATGAAAGCATTTAAATAGGTAAATACATGAGAAAATGTGTAGTGTGTGACACATAGTAGGTGCTTTACTAAATGTCTCCTTTGTGTTTTTTTCTTTGTTAACATTATACCTTCTGTCCCAAACAACTGGTCTATACTTATAATAGCAGATTATAAATGGATTATTTAAATGTTAATTTGGGGGCGGTCATCTATTGCTAATGTTGGAACATTACTTTCTTTTTTGTGTTTTTTACTTTCTGTGTTTTCTCCATGTCCTTGTTTTTTACAAGGGAGATATATTAAAAATTTCTGTCCTTTTGTTATTACACTGAAAATATTGAAAGGCAAAATTAATTTTAGTAGAAGGAAAGTTACTAAATTTAATTACTTTTTTGTTTCTTACAGTGAATCTTGCACTTGCACTAGCAGCGAATGATTCGGTAGGTGTTTATTAATAGAAATATTAATTTATTAAAATGTTTTTTAAGTTAATATAAAGAGCATATTGATATTTTTCATTTATTCTGTCAGAAGCTATATAGCGTAGCTGTAGTCATTTGCGTGTTTTTATGAGACTCAAAAATCTGCCTTAAGTACTGGTTACATTTAATAATAATAATAATGAAAATGGAAGGGGACTACTGGTCACAGAATTTCAGCAGCCTCTAGAAGTTAGAAAAGGCAAGGAAAAGATTTCTCCCTAGAGCCTCCAAAAGGTATACAGTTCTGCCAACATCTTAATTTTAGCTCACTGAAAGCCATTTTGACCATTTCTTACAGTAGAAGTAGGAAACTAATATGGACAGGAAGTCAGTTTTTTATTTATTCAATTTCCAAAGACATCTTTAATTTGCCTTTATATTTGATATTGAGTAGATGTAGAATTTCAGGTTCAAAATAATTTTCTCTCTGAACTTTGAAAACAATATTTCATTTTCTTTTAGCATGCTAATGAGATGTCTGATGCTAGTCTGATTCATATTGCTTTGTAATAACCTGTGTTTTTTCCCCTCAAAGCTTTTAGAGGTTTTTTTTTTTTTTTAGTGTTTTTTTTTAAGTTTAAAAATGCCACAAATATGCATCTAGTTGTTGGCTTTATATTTTTTTACTTGCTTGGAAGTTGGTCAAGCGGTATCAAGGATTGTCTTTTTCAGCTTAGGAAAAATTCCTTCATTGATTGCTTTTTGCGATGTGTTTGCTCTCTCTTCAGAAACCTATTAGGTAGATATTGATTCTTTATGCTCATTAATTTTTCACTCATATTCTTCATCTCTTTGTCTTTTCTCTGTGTTTTGGAAGATGTCAGATTATTTTTCACACTGCTATATGAGCTTTTAGTTGTTATTTAGCCCTTTTATTTTTTTAATTCAGAAATTGTGTATATTTTTTCTAGTTTTCTAGAACTGTTTATTTTTCAGTTGCTATCTATATCTACTTAAAAAAGGGTTGTATCATTTGTTTGACTCTCTCTGAGATGCTATTTACAATTAATAAAATAATGTTCCTTTTAACGCTTTCTATTTATTTAGCATGGTGATTCTCATAATGTGGTCCTCAGTCCAGCAGAATCAGCATCACCTGGAAACTTGTTAAACATACAAAATCTTGAGACCCACTCCATACCTACTTAATCAGAGACTCTGAGAGTGGGAGTTCTGCAATCTGTGTTTTAACTAGGCCTGTAGGTGATTTTGATGCATGCTTAAGTTTAAGAACCATGAATCTAGAGTTTTTTTAAAACTAATCTACTAATGGCACCTTGTTTTTTTCTAGAGTGGTTTTTTATTTAGTTAGTAAATAAAAAAATAGTAAACTATTTTTTCTCTTTTTGTTTCAATGGGCATTTGAAAGAGAAGAGAGAAAATCATGTATATTTAGGCAAGCTTGTTGAAGTAAGAGACAGTAATATATTTAAAAAATAATTTTTATTAGGTCATTTAGTTACCCTGGAGAAAGGACCCCATTTTCCTTAAAGAAAAGGAGGAAACAGGGAAAATTTAGTGGGTGGAAAGGTAGGTAAATTTGTAGGTATGGGGATCTTTATTTTGGTTATCATTTCAGCCAAAGCTTTGAGTCTTAAGACAATGTGAAGCAACTGTGTAATAAGGGATTGAGGATGAAAAGAATAGTTAAGAAGGGGTTGATTTCTTCATGTTCAATGTTGCTAGTCTTGATAAGATGGTAGCTCAGATTTTTTTTTCTCTTTCTGTTTTTTTTTCTTCTCTCAGGGAGCAGGGATGAGGACAGCCTTTAATACATATAAAGCATTATATGTACGCTTTATATGTATGATGGAGAAATTGACAACAAGAAAGGAAAAGCAATAAGACTTTCCCTTTTCCACTTATTCAGAAAACATTTAGTATTCTAAATGTTTTTAAACATGCTTATAAAATCTTCCTTAGGAGGTTGTTCAGTATTCTGTGATCCAGATGAAGATGTTTTCCTGTTTTCAATTTCTTGATATTTTGTAGCAAAATTAGAAATTAAGAAGAAGAAAGCTAGGAAATTTGAGCAGCACATTGTGATAACTCAGATAATCTTACATAATACAGTATTTTATGGCTACTATTTTGTCCTTTTTAATTAAGTTATGTGTACTTAAGAAAGATGAATTTTATATAGCTTGTACACTTGTCTAATAGTTTTTGTCTAGGGAGCAGCATGTTTGGCTTAAACTGTGATCTGCCAGAGGACTATTTGCAATAGGAAAGAATTGTTCTGTATGATTTATATTTATCTGGCATAGTTTTGTACACTCTATTTCCCAACTTAAGATTTTATTAATATTACACTTATTTAGACAATGCATTTGTTCTTTAGGGGAAACTCAAGTTTCCTCTCAGCCCTTCTCTTTGCCTGAACTGATAGAGATGGCTTAGGTCCAAGGACATTTATTAGGACATGGTGCCCCAGTTAGAATGGTGTCTTTGTAACCTCTCTAGTGATTCGTTGCCATGAGGTCTTAATTCCATGGACCTGGTTCTCCTTAGTCCAACTTTGCTTAAGACGTTGCTAACTCTTTTCTCCTGTTGTTTCCATGGGTTGGTGCCCTTTTTCAGTATTGGAGTGGGAAGATCTAATAATATTAGGTTGTAGGCCTAGGGTAAACAGGTCCAGGAAGTTATTCATTTTACTTTTTTTTTTAATTTTAATTTTTCAATTACAGTCAATATTATGTAATATTAGTTTCAGATGTACAATGTAGCAGTTAGAGATTTATATAATTTACAAAGCGATTCCCCCAATTAGTCTAGTACCCACCAGGCACTATACATAGTTACTACAATATTATTGACTGTATTCCCTTTGCTGTACTTCATATCCCTATGACTATTTTGTAACTACCAATTTGTACTTCTGAATCCCTTCATCTTTTCACCTGACTCCTCAAAACCCCTTCTATCTGGCAATCTCCAATTCTCTATATCTATTAGTCTGTTTCCATTTTTGTTTGTTTTTTAGTTTCCACATATAAGTGAAATCATATGATATTTTTCTTTTGCTGTCTGACTTATTTCACTTGACACCCTCTAGGTCCATCGGTGTTGTTGCAAATGGTAAGATTTTATTTATTTATTTTTTTTTCTGTGGCTGAGTAATATTCCATTGTATATATGTATCACATCTTCTTTATCCAGTTGTCTATTGTCTATTGGGTGGCCTCTATATCTTGGCTATTGTAAATAGTGCTGCAGTGAACATAAGAGTGCATATATTTTTTCGAATTAGTGTTTTGGTTGACTTTGAATAAATACCCTGAAGTGTAATTGCTTGGTCATTAGGTAGTTCTATTTTTAGTTTTTTGAGGAACCTCCAAACTTCAGTAGTGGTTGTACCAGTTTGCAGTCCTACCAATAATGTTCCCTTTTCTCCATATCCTCACCAACACTGATTTATTGATGATAGCCATTCATCTTATTGTGGTTTTAATTTGCATTTCTCTAATGATTAGTGACATTGAGCATCTTTTCATATGTGTATTGGCCATCTGTATGTCCCCTTTGGAGAAAAGTCTATTCAGGTTCTTGGACTATTTTTTAATTGGATTGTTTGTTTTTTTTTGGTGTTGAGTTATATGAATTCTTTATCAATTTTGGATATTAACTCCGTATCAGGTGTATCACTGGCAAATATCTTCTTCCATTCAGTAGATTGTCTTTTCATTTTGTTGATGGTTTCCTTTGCTGTGTAAAAACGTCTTAGTTTGATGTAGTCCTATTCATTTATTTATTTTTTTGTTTCCCTTGCCTGCGAAGAAATGTCAGAAAAAATATTACTGAGAGCAACATCAGAGAGTTTGCTTCCTGTGTTTTCTTCTGGGAGTTTCATGGTTTAGGGTCTTACATTTATGTCTTTAATCCATTTTGACTTTATTCTTCTATATGATGTTAGAGGGTTGTCTAGTTTAATTTAATTTAATTTATTTATTTATTTTCTGCATGTATCCCTTTGGTTTTCCCAACGCCATTTATTGAATAGACTATCTTTACTCCATTGTATATTCTTGCCTCCTTTGTCATAGATTAAATGACCAAATAGGCATGGTTTTTTTTTTTTCTGGGCTCTTTATTCTGTTCCATTGATCTATGTGTCTGTTTTTATGCCAATACCATGCTGTTTTGATTACTATAGCCTGTAGTATAGTTTGATATCAGGTAGTGTGATACCTCCTACTTTGTTCTTTCTCAACATTGCTGTGGCTATTTAGGGTCTTTTATGGTTCCATATAAATTTTTGGATTATTTATTCTAGTTCTGTGAAAAATGCTATTGGTTTTTTGATAGGGATTGCATTGAATCTACAGATTACTTTGGATAGTATGGACATTTTAATGATGTTAATTCTTCCTATCCATTAGCACAGTATATGCTTCTATTTATTTGTGTCTACTTCCACTTATTTCTTCAATGACTTATAATTTTCTGAGTACAGGTCTTTTACCTCTTTGGTTAAATTGATTCCTAGGTATTTTATTATTATTATTTTTTATGTAACGGTAAATTTTATGGGATTGTTTTCTTAATTTCTCTTTCTGATAGTTCACTGTTGGTGTGTAGAAATGGAACCGATTTCTGAATATTAATTTTGTACCTGCTACTTTACTGAATTCATTTATAGGTCCTAACAGTTTTTTTGTGACATCTTTAGGGTTCTCTATACATAGTATCATGTCATCTGCAAATTATGACAGTTTGACTTCTTCCTTTTCAATTTGGATGCCTTTTATTTCTTTTTCTTGTCTGATTGCTATGGCTAGGACTCCAAATACTATGTTAAATAAACTTGATGAAAGTGGACATCCTTGTCTTATTCCTGATCTAAAGGACAAAGCTTTTAGCTTTTCCTTATTGAGTATGGTGTTAGCAATGGGTTTGTCATATATGAGCTTTATTACGTTGAGGTGTGTTCCCTTTATTCCCACTTTGTTGAACGTTTT